CCCCCCCCCCAGCCATGCAGACATACCCATACATAGATGTGCTTTAATATGTCACAGGGACGGCTGGTTCCTCCAAGAGGTTGAAAGGACAGGTACTTGACATCAGGTTGTGATCACAAACATAGAAATAGAAGCTGAGGCTTAGTATTCTGTTACTGTTTAAAGTAGTTTTTTTTTTTAAATATATATTTTATTGATTCCTCACAGAGAAGAAGGGAGAGGGACAGAGAGACAGAAACATCAATGAGAGAAATCGATCAGCCGCCTCCCGCACGCCCCCCACGGGAGATGCGCCCGCAACCAAGGCACATGCCCTCGACCGGAATCGAACCCGGGACATGCCCTTGACCGGAATCGAACCTGGGACCTTTCAGTCCGCAGGCCGACGCTCTATCCACTGAGCCAAACTGGTTCGGCTAAAGTAGTTTTTAAGTAGTTTTCTCAGTGATATGCCTAGACATACATACATTTCAGGGTCTGCCATTTACTTAGCACCTAGCATAGCACTGTTTTCAGAAAGGCACCCTGTAAATGTGAATATTTGAGTTAAGTATAGATTTTAGGATTCCTCCTCTGCTTTCAGAATTGTACACAACATGGGAAACTTTATAAAGTAGAATAAAACTGCTTTAGGGGCAGAGAGAAGGGACAGGAGGTAAAGGCTCCTGGGATTTGGTGTTCTGCTGTCTCATCTGCCGGCCCTGGTCCCCTCGGGGCATGAAGTGCAGGGCGCATGCGTCAGCACCTGAAGTTACAAGGGTTTTATAGGGTGCAATTAATACAGAACTTTCTATGAACTTTCTCTTAGTTTAATATTCTTGGTTATATAGCAAGATTTGAAAAAAGTTTAATTTAATTTTGCCCTTAAATTAAAAATTTGGATTCTTAAAAGCAGTCAGTTTTGAAGTCTTTATACAGCTTATAGAAATAGAAGATGGGCATTATAATTCAATTGGTTATGTAGTTCATGGACCAAAAAGATTTAGTATGCTAAAACTCTCCTAAGTTCCTTTCTACAAAATATTTCCATATGATGTAGTAAAGTTTTTTAGACTTTATTTCTATGCCCAATATTTTCCTGTTAAGATATTTTCCTTGAGGAGAAATGTGTAAATTAGATGAAAAACGCTTGGAGAGGATTTTATTGTGACTAGAAAATACTTTTATTCTTTTATGATTTTCACATGTTCAAGAAATAGACCTATGCTAAGTAAGCAACATTATAGTAAATGACTAGAAAGATATGTTATTGTATTTCACTTTTAACATTATTAACTAATACCAGTGTGCCTATAAAAGGCTGTTTAATTGCCAGATATGTAAAGTCATTGAATTACAGTCAGTTCTATACGGGCTATGGAGGAGAATTAGAGATAGTTGGATTCTCCTTGATTTAGGAAAACTGAAGATATTAAGTAACTTACCCAAGGTCACACAATTAGAAAGTAGCAGAACTGGGACTGAAGCCTGGACTCTTACTTGGAGTTCAGTGTTTTTATCATATCTTGTTAATATCAGAATACGTTATTTCAGCCGTGCGTTCTGGAGCAGAGTCAGCGGTTAGTATTTAGTGCATTGCTCCTTTGCACCTGGTTATGCTCTGCATCCTTTGGATATTGGGGCTTCTATTTAACATAAAACAAAACTGGAGTGGGTAATTTGAAACTTGGAACTAAATGTGCCAAAACTGGCAAGAAATTTTGAGCCTGGCAAAGGGGACTTTGTTATAGGAATGAAATAGGAAATGATGTGCAAATAAATAAATGAATGAAATGATACATAAAGGAAATGACCTCTTTTAGAAAGTATCAGGGAGACCAATTATCAGGTAGTGAGACATCCCATCTAGTCTGAAAGTAATAGATTTTTCTTTCACTTAATTTAGAAGAGTTATATTTTGATGAAATACATTAATGATATAGATATGTATATGTAAATTGAGTTAATTAAAATAGTGTATTTTTACATTTAGGCTAGAAAGGCCAGCCTCTGTATTACCTAGCTAACTGCAGGCTTGAATTCCTTATATCTTAAGATGTGTAATTTGCTTGTGAAAGGATAAGTCTCGTTTATATTCTAGAGGGTGAAGTAGTATTATTTTATGAATAAGATAGTTCTATTTTATTAGAATTCTTCTTTCCTAAAAAAACTTAAACCTTTTCAAGTGGTTAATAGAGGGTTTCTGGGTTTTGTTGTGGGGTGAAGTCATTTTGCAATTCTGGGGGACTTCATGGAAACCTGGTGCGAGAACCTTTAGAAGTAACGTCTGGTCACGGGCAGCTGCTGGGGTGGTCCCTGCCCACTGCTTGCCAGGGAGCAGAGCTCCTCTCTGAGAGTGCAAACCAGGCTTTCACTCAGAGGAGGGACGCTCTTGGTCTTGGTGACTCACCCGAGCTGCTGCTTCTGACCTTGCCAGTGTACTGAAAGGAGATTTTCTTATTTTCTCTGAATTTATTGTTTTCTTCTTTATAGATGATCATGGGAACAGCAATAGTAGTCATGTAAAAATCTTTTTACCGAAAAAGCTGCTTGAATGTCTGCCGAAATGTTCAAGTTTACCCAAAGAGAGGCACCGTTGGAACACTAATGAGGTAGATAACTTTCTATTTTTAGGGGTATCATTTCTTGAAGGGCAAACTTCTTAGGTCATTTTGCATAGTATTACTTTATATTAGCTTTAACTGGAAATACTGACCTAGGAAATTGTAAATGAGAAGATTATTTAATTTGGATTTGACAGAAACCAACATGTTTCTTGAATGATCTTTGCTCTGCTTGGCTTGCTTGGAACAATATAAACTGTGCACGCTGACTGACTAACCAAGGGAGCATGGGTTCCTATATCTGTGTTTTTCTGCATTTTGGCGTCTTGCATTTGGTGGTTAACTGCCTGCATCTCCACTGAACATCAGTGCTTCTGTTGTCACGAGTTAGTAAAAGACAGCTCAGTGCCCGTAGAACGTGTGGTGTCCTGAAGATGTGAAGTTTCTGTAGAGTTGGGACGCGTAGGCTTCCTGCTGGCAGAACAGCTCTTAGTCCTGTGATGAGGACAGTTTGCATGGGGCTAACTGGTTTACTGGAACGATGGGAATCTTTATTAAGAATTAAGACTGTTCAGTAGACTGTATACAAGGTGGGCAAAAGCAGGTTTATAGTTATTTGTTGGCAACAATACAATCAATAAAACGTAATACAAGAATAAACTCTGTTTCTTGTACTCACACTGTAAACCTACTTTTGGCCCACTCTGTATTTGGCATCCAATTAGAAAGAAATTTGATGAATTAGAATGAATAAAAGTTTGTCTTCTTGGATGATGTTTCTTTATTTTGGTAAGTCATAATCTGGGAGTCTTAGAACAGTTTAACACTAGGGTTTGATTGCTTTCTCTTCTTTCTTAGTTTGGAATCTGAATATTTGAATTTAGGCTGATACCCGCTTAGTGTGGTGATAAGAATTGACTATGTGTCCATAACTTGGAGAGTTCTATTCCTTTAATTCAAGTGGCTGGGTTACTGGTTTCGCAGAGTTGGTTATAATCGACTAGCGGCCCGGTGTATGGATTTGTGCACATTGAAAGTAAATTAATTAGAAGGTGGCCAATGGGGCGGGACTGGGCAAGATGGACTGGACGTGCCCTGGAACCAACCTTCCTTGGTCCCTCCCTGGCCAGCTGCACCTGGGGCGGTGCTGGGGCTCAAAGGGCATCTGGTAAGTGAGTGGGGTCCCTCTGGCAGGTAGGGTCCCTTGGCCTGGCCTGCGGGGATCAGGCTGAAACCGACAGTCCGACATCCCTCAAGGGGTCCCTGAGTGCACTCTGCAAAGTTGCTGTCGCTTGGCAGCTCCTGTGTTGAGCGTCTGCCACTTCTAATGTGGTTTTTCAAGTCTGCCTGGGCTTAAAATTATATATATATATATACACACACACATACATGCATGCTACCCTGTTAGGGTGTTATATTTAACTAAGACAAGAAGAAAACAGTGCTGTCTGTTCACTCTTATTTTTGAAGATTATTTTGCTAGAGCTCCTCAATTTAGAATGCTTTCGTTTTGAGTTGTAAGAGTTTATATGGATGAAAGTTTCTTTACTTTTCCCAGTTTACAGAGTTAAATACTCCATAGAACCCCATAACTTTGTTACTGAATCTCATACCTTAAAGTCAATTTAATTAAGTCAGTTGCTTAATTAAAATCAGTGGCCTTAAGAATCTTATAAAGCTAGAGGTAACAGTGTTAGAAATCTAGTTGATAGTTTATTTAGATAATTGATTGCAGATGTTTTACTTTTACCTTAGATATAGTATAAAATACCCAATAAAGAACATTTATAGAGATAAGATTAAAAGGAAAATAAGTTCTGTGCTTGGTCCCAGCACCGCAGTTCACATAGCTCCCTGGAAACCGCTGGTTTGGGGCCCATTTTGCTGATGTCCAAGTCCACAGACAGGGACTGCATTCCTATCTTGAGGAGCGAAATGTAAAGCCGGGGTCTGAGAGGTGTGGGTTATGTGCACAAGCCTCACTGCTGCTGGGGCGGGGCGAGGAGGATGGTCCCGAGGGCTGGGGAGCACCTCCCTGGTCCCGTGCTCTTCCGTGACTTGCCCGCTCCGCACTGGGAAGCGTGGGTATGGAGGCTGAGTGGGAAGGCTGGCCTGCGCTTCTGTGTAGAGGACATTGGCCTTTTTTCTTGTTCCTTTTTGGCTTTAGGAAAAATAGGGGAACCTTACAGTGACAGCAGAAGGCTTGGATTAGGAGTTGCTAATTCTGTAGACTGTTCTGGGGCACTGGACCTGCCATTAAAAACACTTTAAAATTTTATTTTATTAAAATTTTTTTTCAGTTACAGTTGATATTCAGTATCATCTTAGTTTCAGGTATACAACATAGTGATTAGTCATTTATATTCCTTAGGAAGTGATCCTCCCAATCAGTCTAGTGCTCACTTGGCACCATGCATGTTATTATAATGTTGTTGACTATATTCCCCACGCTGTACTTTGTATCCCCGGGACTATCTGTAACTGCCAATTTGTATTTCTTAATCCCTTCCCTTTTTATCCAGTCCCCACCGCCCTCCCATTCATTTTTGTAACTGGCTTGGATAATTGGAGGAATAGATTGTTAGTATTCCCATCAAAGCACTTACTTCTTTGTCCTAGCCGCGTGTCGTCGTTTTCCCACGGCCTTGAGCCTGCCACTAGAACCTGGGGGACCGCACGTCAGTGCGCTTGTCTTGCTGGGCTCGGCGGTCCTCTGAAGGCAGGGTCCCTTTAGTCAGGCGGTCCCTTGAATGGCTCCTCGAGTACAGTGTGGCCGTTCTGCCCTTCCCAAGGGCCGCGTCCTTGGAGCTGGAGCAGATTGTTGTTTTGGTGAAGGACCACTTGAGGTGGTCGGCTTGTGCTTAGGAGCTGTGTTTACACACATGCGCTTCCTTGGATCTCATCGGGCCCAGGCAGTGGTGCTGCAGAGGCGTGTTTCCAGTTCACCCTCTGCCCAGCGTGTTCGCCACGTGGACTGGCGGCCTTTTGCCAGGACGAGGTGTCAGCTGTCCTCTCTCTCCTCTCCCGTGTTCTCCTCACCTCTCTGCGAGGTGTACACAGTTGAATTCCTGGGAGTAGTGTGTAGACATTTGGAGAAATTCCTTTATTCAGGTCCAACCTGTGCTATAATATTCATGATTATTTGAGGAAGCCCAACTTTTATACTGCGTGTGTATATTAGTTGAGGGGGAGAGAGAGATTGCGCCCATTCAAATGCTGCCATTTTTGGAGACCTGTTCTTTGCTAGTGGCTGAGTACTGGATATAACTATTTCTAAGCCTCATAACAGTATTACAAGATGCGTAACCTTGCCTTTGACAGATGAGCGACTGTTGGTGAAAAGTAGTTAAGTTGGTCAAGATAGCTCACTTGATAGGGCTTGCCTTGGTCTGACCTTCATTTCTCTGAATTCTTAGGAACATTCCTTCTCTTGTGTGTTGTCTAGGCTTTTAATCAAAGACCCATAACTCTGAACATCAATGAACTCAGCAAAACTATTCTGTGATTTAGTTTCGGGTTAAAAAGAATTAATAGAGGGTTTGTATTGTGGGTTCATTTGGCAATATTTGGTGGAGCTGGAAGTCACTGAAAAGGAAGACTATTAGAGGATAAGAGAGATCTTAGGGCCTAGTTAAGCTACTCTTAACCTTTCCAACTCATTGGGATGGGTGAAACCTCTTCCTTTCTTGAGTGCTATTTGCGACTGCAAATCAAATGTATCTAAAAATGAATCAATTCTAGATCGAGCTTTCCCCACCACACACACCCTCCCCCCAGGACATGAAGCCGATGCCAGCAGTCCTGGCAGCTAGCATTATAGAACACCTGCTGCATGCCAGGCACGAGGGGTGCCTGGGCGCGGTAATCCCACCTACCCCTTGGTGAACCCTAAGAAGTAGGTCCTGTGATCATCCTCATGGAAGAGAAGAGGAAATTAGGTGGTGGACTTGGGATCCAAGCCCGCACTCGCTCCAGTTCTGTCCCAGAGAGAAACTTACAATGGATTTCCCAAGATCTTGCAGCTGTTTAGTGACCGTGATCCTTTGTTTTATAGAATTGTTTGGCTTCTTTATTTATTTGCATTTTGAAGTATTATACATGAACTTAATGTATTTTTGCATGAAGGTTTTTTTAAAGTAGCACACTCATTTCTTGTGGAAATAGTTTTATTCTTAATGAATATTAATATGGGGGCTCTGGATAATGAAGGATATGTATTACCAGTAGGAATTTTGTGCCTCTAGGTAGCTGGAGGGTTAGGCTTGATGTTAGATCCAGGGCAGGAGAGAAAGAATTAAACACAGAGCGTATTTGTCAAAGAGCCAACTCTTACTTCATGACCCGTTTGGTGTTCACATCTTTATTAGGTGAACTATTACCAGGTTTTTTCGTTTTAAGTTAATATTTTTAAGGCCCAGGGCCAGAAATAATTATGCTAATGCAACTTTCTGATTGCACAAATGACTACTTCGTAATTACACATATTAGTACTCCATGAGTGTTGTTGGGACTGAAATCTCTTTTGTTTAGTCATTAATTAGCTGTTTGACTGAAAATAGCACCCCTGGTCCCACAGTCACCAGGTCTGCTTCTTCTGCAGGCAGCTAAGTAATGGCGCCCGGGGCCCATTCCTAATGAACATGTGCTCCTGAGCCCCTTCAGGTCATCTCTGGGTTTGCCCGGTAATGCTCTTTCTTCTGCTTGTTTTCCCTCTAATGCAGAGTTTCTCCAGAGGAAGCAAACAAAATAGAATTCTAGTTTGTACTGATCTTAAAGAAAGTTTCATCAAAGGTTTTTATTGGTGGTAACTTCAGAAATTTTCATATTAAATGGTAATTGAATGTTTTTAGTGGTAAGATGTTTATGTAGACAGCAGTACAGGTACAGACTGATGCACTTGAAGGCGTACCACAGAAGCCCAAGAAGAAGCCCTGAGTACAATGCCTTTTTTTTTTTTTTTATATTTTATTGATTTTTTACAGAGAGGAAGGGAGAGAGATAGAGAGTTAGAAACATCGATGACAGAGAAACATCGATCAGCTGCCTCC